CCATTACAGTGAGAAACCAAAACAAACAAAACCTCAGTAGAATCCATGTCATATTGATAAGAATCAGAATAAGTGGCACAGATGCAGATCAACTTCTCAAAGAGTTCAAATGCAAAATATCTTCACCAAATATCAGTCAACCAGTATTTCAGTCTATTTACAAGTTTGGTCATTAGGCCATTTCAGTATCATGATTCTCCAAGAATGTACAAAATTTTATCTAAAACAAGAGCTAACTGATGTTTTCCAATGAAATTTTCACATGCATAAATCTATCACATACCATCAAGAGATGTAACATTAAACAGAAAATATGAGAACTAGGTATGTAAATATATGTAAATATCTTGACCTGCTGAAAAATCCTAGTAGGTTCAGACAGAGAAAAAAATAAATCTAAAAATAGCTGCAACTTACTTACATGAAGAATAGCAACAATAAAAATAAGCCCTGAAGAAATATGCTGTATATACAACAGCTACTCGTTGGCACTTTCTTGATTGCAAGGGACTGCAAATCACAGTTATCGTCAAGTTATCTAACTACACTTTCCAATCTCCATGGCATATACTTCGCCCAGTTACTCATCATAAATGAGAAGAGCTGGGGCAAATTCTTTATAACTCATTTTAAGAATTTTTTCATCACTGAAGTAGTAAAGGACAAAGAAAAGATGAAAAGAAACACAACACATCCTAACTGTGACTGTAATGCCAAACCATATTGATTGTCATACAATGAGAGCAGAGGGAATTAGAGACCTAAAGAAGCTAAGGAAGTTACTCTTGGTAGTCTGCCCTATCACAAAAGGAGGCTAGATTCTCTACAGTTTAGCCCTTAAGCTCATCCTAAATTATTTGAGACAAATTTCTCATTGGAAATGCCTATCCTTCACTCTCTATGAAATACTGAAAAGTCAGTAGCTTTAGCTCAGAAAAAAAATGATACTTTGAAATCCACTGGTAGCTAAACCCAGATGGTAGGATATTGATTTTGTTATTTGTATGCTGGCACCCAGACCCAGTGAAAGCACTGAGATAAAACTGCTCTTCCATATGCAAATAAAAGGGATCTTTCTAAAGGTATGTCTTATCAGAGTAAAGTTAAAAAACCTTGAAAAGCTAGAGGAAATCTTTATCTGTCAGATGACATGTAAAAGCAATCCCTGTCCCAGCTTTCTCTGTAGTGTCAGGGCAGGTCATTACATTCAGTCTCACTTTTCAATCCAGCAACTGGCAGCTGTTGGACTTGCAGAAACCTGGCATCACCTTTCCAGTCTCCTGAAAAGTCTCTTTATACCTGTAACCTTTGAGACTTGGTCACTGGAGTCATTCAGCTCCAGACTCTCCTCCAAACTGACCATATTCAGATGCCATTTCCCCCTCAAGGGTTCCTCCTGACCCAAAATGCAGCTCTTGAGACATTGCCTTACAGAGGAAACTTTTCTGATTTCCAGCTACAAAATGCATAAAATATTACACTTGTATAAATTCAATCATTCTACCATTTTTCAATGTATGCTATGAGGGGAAAAGCCAGAAAACTCCTGAATTCTTCTGGTTGGAGCTAAAAAAAACAAATAACATTTCTTAGATCAAATTTGGAGAAGGCTCAGACTTGGTTACAAGTAAATCTGGGATAATTCATCAACAGACTTCTTTTTCCTAAATTAATCATAGCTGCACATAAAAGCAAATTTTGCAATCCTTGACACTATAAATTAGTAGAAAAGGCAAGACTTGTGTAAGGGTACAAGTAGAGACCCAATAAATTTCCAGTGCCACTGTCAGTATGCCTCTAAATCTCCAAGTGTCTTCTTGGGAAGAAGCAAACCCACCAGGAGCATGCCTCTTAGGTAACCATTCTGTTCTCTGCTCACTGCTGCCCAGTAATTACTTTGAGCATAACTTCATATTAAAAAAAAAAAAAGTTTGGAGGGTGGAAATTATTTTCTAAAATGTTTGTTAGAACATGATGCCAGGATTTTTCAAAAATATGTACATTCACAACTAACTATCCTTTCTTATTTTTACAATGGTTTTCAACTTGATGTAGATATTTTTATCTTTATTTATAATGCTCTAACTCAATAGCTGTCTTTATGCTACAGGTTAAGTCAAAAGGAGCTAATATTTTAAAAAATTATTCCAAAATAACAAGGCATCACCACATTAGGAATAATTCCTAAACCATGTGGCACAGACAGCTTATCAGTTTTAAGAGATACAACTGGCTGCTCCCAGCTAAAGCCTAGGGAGTAAGACCCACAGGGGAACTGCAGACTTCCAGTGTGATGTGACTGGTTTCACATTAAAGAAACATTGCTTTATTTGTAATACTTAGTCCTTTAAGTCAAATCACTGAAAAATTCTCAGTCTTCTTTTCTTTAGGCTCTTGTAGCTTGTGCAGGAAAGAGTTTATGAGACCATGACAAGAAGTTACACTAAAAAATTTGGGAAAGTAGCAAGATGCAAAGAGGAGATGAGAGAAACATTAAGGAAGGAATTAAGGATAAATGAAAATTTAGGCAACTGAGCAACTCAGTACATAGTGGAGAGGTGGATTACTTCAACGAAAGGAAACAGAAAAAAAAAAGATTTAGAAGGAATCTATGAACAAGATATGGAATCATTATTGGAAATAAAATGGAGACTAGCACAAAGAAGAGGAAAGAACTGAGCAGCAAAAATTACTATAAATAGGGTGGTGGTACAAAGGATAAGAAGAGAGAACAAGCAAAGCAACATGAAAACTAATGAGAAAGAGCATCTTAATGTGGTACCACTCCATTGTCCAATAAAACACTGCAGCATTTGTCCAAATACAACAATAAATTGACACTTGCAAATTAAAGTGCCCAGCACAGGCTGCAATAGATCAAACTGAAAGGGTTCTTGGAAAAGGACAGTGAATGAAAACCTGAGAGACCTGTATTAAATTACAGGTTTGGCCATTATCTTCCTATGAGATATGAAAAATGGGAATATAATGCCTCCTACCTTGTTGTGACGATAAAACTCATTAATTATCATGAAGTGCTCCCACATTACAGACAGCATTGGGGAGGGGAAATAAGTAGAATCTAATTGCTGTTGTAGGATAAAGAGTACAAAAGGTCTATTACTGATTGATGGACTACGGGGTTACAAATTGATCATTTTATCTGAGATTGAGAAATCCAAAGGCCAAAGAATGATTGACCTTCACATTCTTGTTTGTTTTTTAAGTCCAAGAAAACACAGTGATTAGATCCAAAAAGGCCCACCGAGACAGTAGAAGAAAAATGAGAGAAGGATCTCCTGAATGTGGTATGCAAACAGGAAGAAGGAAAGCAAACTGTACTGTAGCATATACAGAAAAATACACAGAATTTAAGAGGATTGCTCTTCTGATAAAGTTGTAATTTTAAAAGGATGAGTGGAGACAAATAAGAACTGGCAGGGAGGACCGGTGAGATTAATCTCTTCTACATCCAAAAGTTGAGATCTAAGAGTCTGTAATAGAAACTGGTCAACAGAGAGAAATACACATCTAGATTCAGCTGATCTTAGACATCTGTCTCAGAACAAACTGAACAGAGAGGTACCCATAGGGACTAGCTTAGATGTCTAATTTAAAAAAAAAAAAATTCTGCTGCTAATTATTCTTAATTGTACTGAAAAGGAAATATAATATCATTTCCCATGAATAAATGAAGGTTCGCTGCATGGACAAGGAAAAAAATATGGACTTAGAGGCAGAAAAGAATGGATGGCAACAGCAGTTTTACTGACCAGTTCTTCAGAGATGATTCTCTTAAAATCTCTTGATTTAAAAAAAAAAAAAGGAAAAAAAAAGAAAAAAAAAAAGAAAGGCTCTCTCAAGCATTTTTTTCAGACAGGAACAGGGGAGAAGAGTCTGTAGTGTTTGCATACATATTTGAGACCAGGATGAACCCAATATTTAAGCATTGTAATCCTGTTTCCAGAAGTGATCAGCACCTGCCATTCCAGAGACTTTAATGAGAACAGACAAATATCTTTCAAATTTAGGTTACTTTTACTGAAGTTTACCTAAAACATGCAAATTTTAAAACTCAGGACAGTCTGGTTTGTTGTATTTGGATTCAAGTACTCATAACTCTATATAAGCATATATAATAGTTCTGCTTGACATGATCTATGTACCTTCTTTAATTGCCTTACAGCAGAAGCATCAATTATAATAGTGATGCCATCAATCTCTAAAGAATACTTGATTAAAAAGTGCAAATGAAGCATGCTGGTAATTCTGATTAATACATTTAAAATATTTTTTCTGCGGTTTTATAAATTAAATCTATAATGAAAACAAGCAGTTGTATTATCTCAAGTGAAGGTGAGGATAACTTGTATTCTCCCCAGAAGACATAAAGATTTTTAACAGTTAATGGCAGATAGGAGACTTCAAACCTCTTAAAGTAAGAGTTTTAGTAAACCAGGAATTGAAGTATCATACATTTAGTTTAAATCTTGTGACTGGATTTTCAATTTCCCCAAAGCTTGTTACAGTCAAATAAGCAACCACAAAGTGCATGAAAATAATTGTTCAGTAGCATTTTACATCTGCCTTCTCCTCACATAAAAAATTTCCCACAAAGAATACAGAACACCATAACATGAGCTTGGAAAATAAGGCCAGAAAATGGCTCCTTCAGAGTAAATTATTTACATTTATCATTTTGATTCTCCAGACCTGTAATTATGGTTTTATTACATTTCAAAAAGTGAATGATACTGCTGTACGCTACATGAAAGGAGACAGACATTGAGAATTAGAACACAAAATATTATCTGGCTCTTGAGGAAACTTTTGAAGATATTTTTAAGTTTCTAGCTTTCTTGCTTCTGCAAAATATTTAAATGCTAGTCTTAGAGTTTCATTAATACTTTCAATCCCTTAATTTTCAAGGATTACAAGTTAATTTACAAGTAAATCTAGGATTTGCAAAAGGAAATGAAATTAAATGAAACTTTACTTACATCATTCTGATCATCTTTTGCATTGTAATAGATTATATCATTATTCTGTAAGAGAAAGAAAAGTAATTCTGTTAGTTTGAAAGGAGAGAATAAATTTAACAATTCTCTGCACTATTGTGAAATACATTTTGAAATAAAAACCACAATTCTTTATGTATTCTCTTTGAAACAAGACAGACTCAGATCTTTGCTTGCTCTCTGTTGTGTGTCGTATTTGTCATGCTCGTGCTTAACTTCATACATTTAATGCTTCTTCCTTGGGAAGCTACATAAGTCACTCAAAACACAGCTAGAAAAGTACAGATAACATTGGACAAACTCGAGAGCTCACAAAAGACTTCCATAAGTTGTTTCTGTTACAGACATGTGACTTCCCCTGTGCAATTAGGTGATTTATGCACCATGACATCCAGCAGACAACAGATACAGCGACGCACGGGCGTTGCTAAGTGGGTTAAGTATTTGTTGCACACACGTTTATTCTTCTATTCACCTCCCACAGCGAAAATACAATCTGTGAAAATACCTCACAGCAGTCTGGCTGTGGTAGTGGAGAGCAGATCCTGGCAGCTCTGTAGAAAGACTGTACCGTGTAATTCAAGCAAAGCAAAGAAGGAGAAGATTGCTAGTTTCCATTACAGAATCAGCGAGAAGCTTCATTCAGCAGTCTGAAAATTGAGGTATTTCCTATGGAATACAGTTTTGTTTTCTCTTGAAATATTTCTGAACCATTTAAAAGCCTTAAAGATTTAGGTTCGCTGTAGTAGTTTTCCACCAAATAGAATTGCTGCACTGTGCCCAACAGTTTTTCATCAAAATCAAACAATTGTTATGTGCATTTCTCTATTAAATAGTATGGACATAGTATTTTTAAGTCCCTTTACAGATTTTGAATAAATAAAGGAGAAATTACATTTCTTCATGTCCAGCAGTGTGTTTAAAATATTACTTGCATTAAAAAATACCATGACATGTACTACAAGGTAATGCACTTCACCTTTATAAACCATCGTTTTCCTCACTCCATAAATAATGACATCATTTATTCTCCTTTGTGACCTTTTAGAGAGTCAGACATGAAATATATTACAGATGAGCTAAATGCCATTTGAGGTAAATGCTATTAACATGAACTCATGCCTTTTGCTTTTCCCTCAAAATGCATTTTTCCATCAAGATGCTGTTCTATCCACAGGTCAGTTGGTTTTATATCAGTATCTGGATAACGAAGCCAGATACAAGGGTGTGGTAGACACAGGAGGAAATTCCTTTCATCATTAAGGACTAATGACGACTAATAAGCTAATTGCTTATTCACTAGATTGTTATAAAGAAACGACCATATAATGCTGTGGAAGCCTCAGAGCATGTTGGAAGAGGAAAAAGAGTCTATTTTCTTTGGTTCCTCTTACTTTTTACATGGCTGTAAATAATTTGGTCTGTTCAAAACCCCATCTGATTCTTTAGCAGGCAAAGGATCCAATTCTGATTGGTACTAGCCAGAAGTGTTAAAGTGCTTTCATCACAAAATGATCTGCTTAGTTGAAAAAAAAAATGTTTCACTTTAGAAGACAGGGAAAAGAAACACTTCTTTCATGAAAACTCCTTATGTTAGGTTGTGTTAGAGCAGTTCCCCTGTCATCTCTTCTCTGGAAGGTTTTATTCAGGAAAAAATGAGCTGCAGGAAAAGTAATATGGGCATACCTCTCTGGATATTATGTATATATTTGTTTTGTTCACTGCTTTCATTTTTAAAAGGAACATTTTCATAAAACATGATGCTATTAGGCCCTCTCTCGTATTGATTCTCATCTAGATATCAGTTTATTTCCTCAGCCCCTCCTCATTGCTCATGTTTACCCTAGCAGTACGTCCTGTTGTAGAATCATTATTACATAGGATTTTTAACACTGTCCTCAACAGATACAATTGTGTTTATCTACTTAAACAAAATGATTCTTTATTGTCACAATTATATTTCCCCCCCATCTTTTATGTTTTTATTTGTTTGTTTAAATTGCTCGAAGCTGGCATATCTTTACTATGTACTTCTACTGGACTGAACAGTAGTTTTAAAATCACCTATTAAAGAATTATGTTTCAGAAACACGATATGTTTACAAATTAATTAAAATAAACACTTCCCCATATCAAATGAATTATGTATTTTGTTACGCTATTCATTTCCTGTACTTCATTACCCTGCCTGGGTACAGGTAATATATAGGTAATTACCAATATAATGCATAAGCTAACACTGACATCAGACATATCTCACTACTCTTAATATAGAAAATATGAGATACCCAGTGGTACAACACACTAAATGCTGTACAGTTCACAAATTAGATTCATGGATCAGTCAGATCTTTAGAGGATAATTTTTCACAATTTAACTACTTCTAGTTGACAAGAACAAATTGCTTTGTTGCTGGAACTCACGTGAGTAGTTTATTTATTTATTAACTTCTTGACACAAAGAATTTGAATTGTCCCACTGTTGTACACTTTTGCCACCAGAAAATACTACACACTTGGTCAGCAAGCCTAAGGTACAATGTAAATATCAGAGATACTTTATTTTTGTTTTATCCAGCAATGCTATGAGAGAGAGGGGGTAAATATTCTCTATTGCTTCTGTTAATGAATGAAGGGATTTAGTAAGACAGTTCAGAAGCTGAATTTTTGAAAGAGAGACTTTAGGAGACCATATGCATAAATTAGAAACTCTAGTGTAATATCAGTATACAAGTTTACAAAATCTATGCAATTGGAAAGGTGAAGGGTAGTTTTCACTGTCTTTAATTCCCCTTTCAAAGCAAACAGTTTCAGTATCTGACAAGGGTATTAGGCAAGGCATATAAAAACTACATTAAGGACCAGGTCTTAAATGTTTTATTTGTGACTCTCACTATTTTCTTTTCTATCCTAATAATTTTCTTCCACACTTCCATTGTAAGTATTATCTGCTGAAGTGAAATTGTTCCATGGTCTTTTTATTGCTTTTCATTTCAGTAGTTGTTTATTTTCCAGCTTGGGGTATAAAACAATTCCAATGGGAAACACTACATATTGGCTACTATTAATAAATTCTTAAATTTCACCGCATAAAATCCAAAGTTTCTGGTCTCTAGAATGTCTATGTCTAGAGGTTTGAAGAAACACACATCTGCAAATGAAATTTGAACTCACACCAACACTAACTTATACTCAAGTTTTGATTCTCTACTGAGCAACTTTACAGACACAGTCTATTGATTTAACAAATAAATGCCTAAACTCAACTCAGGATTATGTGAATGGAGCTGAAGTTGGCTTGTCATCACAGGAAATAATGCTTTTTTTCAATCACATTCTTTCAAGAACAACAAAAAGGGATCACAACACAACAAGACATATCTGACACTACAGATAATAATGTATAGTAAATTGCAACAATATATCTATGTCACTTTGTTGTCAAAAGCCACACATCCTCCTTTACCAAGTGCCAAAAAGAAAGCTCCTTGTCATTGCTGCCACATTATGGTGTCTGTAGGAAAACCTCCTCTCTAAATGTTATGCTAGAATTCCAAGAATTTTCCATGTAATATGAGCCCCATCAACTAGTCTAATGTCTTTTTTTTTGGTAGGAAGATTGTATATTTGTTTTTTTGAAATATCTGCTTTCCCACAAGAGATGTTAGCATTTCATTCAGGAAAGAAAAAAAAAATACTCTAAGTCTTAAGATTTTCCACAAACACTCTATGTGGTCAATTCAGAAGTTCTGCTTTCACTGAACCTGTGGTAAGATTACATATGCCCTCAGGTCTGTCCATGGGCCCCCTAGGGATTTTATGTATCCCTATGCCAGTGATGGAGCCCAAAATGGTGTTAGGCCTACAGGGAGATTGAAGGCCTGAAATTAATACTAGAACTTTAGGAGACACTCTAATGAACTACCAGAAAACAAATAAATTATTTATTAAAAAAAGGCAGATTAAGAAACTGTTTTTCTGCAGCTTTTCATATATTAAGAAATTAATGTCATGTATTAATTCAGATAGACATCACAATTATCCTTTTTCCCCTAAAGCAGCAGTTCAAAAACAATTGTAGGTACAATGTGAAAGCAAAAAAAATTACACTTTTATACATTTCAGAGATGTTAGAAGATATTGAATTCCCTCAGAAAAGAAAACAGAAGAGTGTTTGTTAAAGATTTTCATAATTCAAAGATTTACTTCAGTGAACCACTGGAGGCAAATATAAAATTAAGGTAGTAGATTATATTGCAAATATATGTATATTATATATATATACACACTACTGCATAATTAAGGCAAATATGTTTATTTAGATTTTCTTTTAAAACAGGATACTTCCCATGACTTCTAAGTATTTTATCCAGAAAAGTGCTAGAGCACCCAAAGTGAGGCAATGTATAAAAGCTCCTCCATATTGCAGCTAATCTGCAACTAGTGAGGATTATTTTGGTGTGCAGGTAATGAGGCAGAGTTAGAAATCAAAATTCGAAAGAAACCAAACCATGTTCAAATATATGTCTGATTTTGATGTTTTAGTTTAAAAATAAGGTCTTAAAATTACAGATACAAATTTTGAGAACATTTTAAAATAATAATAATTCCACACATTTGGAAAAGACATTCACATTAATGAAAGAACTTGGTGTCCTTTTGCTCAGCATGTGGCAATAAAAATATTAATAATACTTGTCTGTTTCACTTTTCATAGGCAGACCAAGTGAAATTAGTGTAAAGGCCAACAAATGTTAAAAAAAAAAATCATTAAGTGTTCATAAAACATCTGTTTTAATTTTAAAAAATATTTTGTTGTGTCCCCTTGGATACAGAAGTGCATTAAAAAATATTCACTCTAATACCTTCGGGGTAATTAAAATTTAAACCCATCCTAATAAATTGTATGACAAATAAGCCAGGCAGTTTTAGTTTAATCCCTTATATAGTCTGACATGCAGTTTAAGGCACAATTAGACTCTTCAGAAAAGAAAGCTAAATATGGTCTACAACACAAAAAATTATGT